GGTCCCCCAGCTTGTCAGGGTCTTGGGTACCCATGCACACACTGGTAATTTTTCAAGCCAGCCCAAGGATACAAACACGTGATTGGCCATGTGGCTTCCAGCATTGCAGCTCAGCTTTGCTACTGACTGCCCAGCCCACCAGGCTGGGCCTGCGGTACACTTTAAAATCAGAGCTGCCTACTCACTCTAATAAGATCATTTCGAATAAGGAAACTTGTTATTCACAGGCTGTACTTGAAATCAAACAAAAAGCAGGGTCCAGTCATGGCTCAGGAAAAAACTGGACAAAAACTGTTTTATTTCTTCATTTTGCTACTCTGCTCAGATTTCCTCATACACTTCTAGCTCAGAAAGCAAGAGCTTCCTGCTCCGGACAAAGGCAAAGGTGGGAGCAATAGCTTTGGAATTGTTCTGGAGGAAGGAGTGGAAACCTCTAACCTTGCAGTGTGTGTGGCTCCTACTGTCTTTCTTGAGCAGGGGGAACCACTGAAGGGGCTCAACCAATGCCTGTCACCTATTGTGCTAATGTCAGTATCTTCAATATTTTGGTCAACTTTCTGTTCCAGCACTGTGACAAAACTCCCTTGGTCAAAGATTGCGACCCTAGATAAATCAGGTAAGAACTATGAGGTCCAAAGCCATGAGAATTTAACAAGAGAACAGTTTGTGAAGCATAAATAATGAGGAGACCCTGACTTCCACTCAGGTATGTGGTGGAACTGGAGACAGAGGTTGGCCAAGTGACTCGGATTCACAGAAAAACCCTAAGGTTGCATGGATCTGATCAAGGGCACAAGTGCATACAACCAGCAACAACCGGAATTTATCCCACTAAGTGTTCAGGAAACATGCCAATAACGGGCTGACATTACTCCAAAGCCAACAGTTTGAGCTGTCGACAATCCATCTACATGTCCTCCAAAGAAAAGGCCCTAGCCTTTCTTTCCCTGAGATCAAGAGAGCTGAGAAAGAAAACACACAGGCAGTGACAGGTAGGAATTCAGGGGAGTCAACTCAGAGAATTTAGCTAAGGTTTTGACAGTTTTTTTTTTTTTTTTTTTTTTTTTAGGTTTTGACATTTTAAAGCAGTATCAGTTGAAAGTGATGCAGTATTTAAATATGGATTTCTCATGCTACACCAAAAATATAAATTCTTCAAAAGGTCTGGAGACATATGTCACAATATTGGGTACACAAGTTCTGCAGAGGCATAGGATAAGATGACACAGGTGATGCTGGAGGCAGTGTTACAGCAGTGTTTATGGTAACAGGGAGCAGAGCCATCCGACCGAAGAGGCACAGCTGAGAATTCATTCAATCAAGAGTGTTCCTGAGAAAGGTCATCCATGTTGTCCCAGTGGGCAGCGGGGAGGAGGTGTCTATCAGTGCAGGGGAAGGGGATACCCTGCAAACCCACATAGAACCTGCCAGGTGGAACCTATGATAAGAGGCTTTTTTTTTTTTCCCCCGCCATAGAGCGTGTGCACTTGCTGGAGAGAGAAAGACTGCCAGGTGGAACCTGTGATAAGAGGTTTTTTTTTTTCCCCCCGCCATAGAGCGTGTGCACTTGCTGGAGAGAGAAAGAGAGAAGAAAAGTGAGAAATTACCCCCCAGGGAGGATGGTCACACTGCAATCCTGTCTCTTCCATCGTCCTCTCAGGATCTGGGACACACATGTACACGTACCCAGCATGATTTTCAAGCCGCTGGGTCCGAGGCTTGAGTTGTAGTCGGCCATGTGGGAGTCCAGCACCTTAACCACAAAGTCACCTGCTGGCCCCAACAGGATTTTTAATAGCAAGATCACTTTTAAAACCAGCTTGTGGGGACCAGCAGTTAGCGTAATGGCTATGTCGCTGGACTCCCACATAGTCGACCGCGGTTCGAGTCCCGGACCCGGTGGCTTAAACTCATGCTGGGTGCGTGTGCGTGCATGCCCAAGATCCCGAGAGGAGAAAGGAGGAGAAGGGATTGCGGCGTGGCCATCC